GTACTTGCCAATGAGTAGCCAAATTGGTGAGATCTAGGTGTAGTGAGAGACCTTGTTTCCAAATATACGGGAGAAAATAAAATGGAGAGAAACTGAAGGAGACCCCCAATGTTGACCTTTGGCCTCTCCATGTACACACACGCACACACTCACACATACAGAAAAGAAATGACTGTTTAAACATAGTGAAGGCTCTGGCAGCAGAGGCACTCTAGGATACAGAGGGATAGATCAACTAATAGGTAGCAAGAGATCTGGGGAATGGTGAGGGACATACCATCCCAGGAAACCAGTGAAGACAGAGAAGCAGTTCATAGGAGACCTGCCTCTTCCTTCAGTGACCAGGAAGGAGGCATGACTAAGGCCAGTCCAAAGTGGACAGCGTGGGGCCAGAGCTGGACAGATGTAGGCCTGTCCACTCTGCTAGTTATGGTGGCTTTGGTGCCCACTAGTCATTCAGACATGACAAATGGATTATGGCTTTTTTTTTTTCCCATGGAGTTCCTCATTGGCACAAACCAGGGCTTCAGGAAGTCAGTCACTGTCAATCATCAGAATGACCATCAGGATACACACACACCCTGTCACTCTGGTAGAGGAGCCTCTTAGCACTATTGTGGCTTCCAGCACTCAGTGCCGGGCACAGATTTTACTAGAAGGAAACTGCTCGATTCTATAGGCAGACCATCCTGGCCACTCAGAGCCTGCCGCAGCTGCTTAAGGAAGGATCTTTCTGAGGTATGACATGCATGCAATTAACACCCTCCACAACACTGCCAACCTGGAGAGAGGTCTCTTTCTTCTCCAGTACTCTTTGAAGGAGTGTCAGTAAACTAAATCACCAAACTGACATCAGGTTTCTAATGTGGTTGTCCATTTCCTCTTACAAGCAAGGTGGCCGGGCGTCACTGTGTGCAGAAATGCTCTCCAGTAAAGAAGCAGGCAGCCTCGCTCTTCACACGTGGTACCCAGCCCTCTGCCCCATGGTTGAGGTGGAAGGCAGGCAGGATCAGGTTCTGGAACCTGCCACCAAGGTACTTACAGTAGAGGAGGGTGGGACTCACATAGAGGGAGAGACTTCAGATGGAGGGGATATTTGGACCCCTGTGCTGTGATCTATACTCACCAGGAGAATGGAGTAGAGGAGAGGAGCCTCGCTTTAGGCGCCTCTGCAATTTCACAAGATGGCCTGAGAAAGCACAAGCCTTAGCATAAAACAGGACTAGGTAAAACCCCCAGCACATGTTCCTGGTTGTGTGCCTTTGAACACTTTCTAGCACTGCTCTGAGTCCTAACCCAGCCTTCTGGGGGCATCCCTGAGGACCAGAAAGCTCAAGGGCTGGTACAAGGAGCCTGAGTCAGGCAGGTCCCACAGAGCACTCCCTTAGCAGGGGACCTGTCCACAACACTCAGCTGTGCAGGGGCCTGGGTTGGGTTATGCTAGGGGACTAGAAAAGAATTCCAGCTGTTTTGTTTTGTTTTGTTGAGACAGGGTAGGTCATTGGAACTCACTATGTAGACCAGGCTGGCCCCAACTCACAGAGATCAACCTGCCTCTGCCTCCTGAGTGCTGGAACTAAAGGTGTGAACTACTACACCTGGCTTGTTTTGCTTTTAATCCAGCTGTTCTTATGCTCACAGGGAGCACCAAGCTTAAGACAGGGAAGACGGTGCTGTCCTCAGTGGGCCATGTTTCTAGGAGGGTGAGCACCAGGTAGGCATTAGCTCCTGTTTGAGAAAGAAGTAAGGAGAGAGGAGAAGCCAAGTGCAGCAGACTCAAGTTCCCCGGTAGGACCATGGGTCTTCCTCCTTAATGCACACTTGGCTCTCTGTACCTCCTGGTCCCACACCCACAGATTCAACTACATACACATCAAAAATGCTAGGAGAAAAAAACCGCTGGGTTTGTAGGGGCTGGAAAGGTGGCTTAGTGGTTAAGAGCACCTGCTGCTCTTGCAGAGGGTCCGGATTCAGTTTTCAGTACCTACATGGTGGCTAATAAACCATTCATAACTCCAGTTCTAGGGAATCTGACAACCTTTTCTGACTTCCTCTGGCACTGCACATACATGATACACATATACACATACAGGAAGAACACCCAGACACATAAAGTGAATAAGTCTTTAAAAATTTTGTCTGTAGTGACTATGTACAGACTTTCTTGTCATTGTTCCTAAACATTGTATCATAATAACTGTTTGCATAACATTCTCATGGTTCTGGTTATTATAAGTGATCTAGTGATGATTTAAAATATACAGGAGGATATGAGGGTTAGATGCAAATAAGCTATTTTACATAAGGGGCTGGGTATCTGCAGTTTTTGTTGTCTGCAGAGGTCCTGGAACCAATCCCTCAGGATTACTGAGGGACAGTTATATCAGGTAATACAGTAAGTTATACTGATTAATTTTCAATATCAAATGAAGTTTGCATTCCTGAAATGAGTCCTACTTGGTCTATCTTATTCCTTTTCCACACCACTGGGTTCAATTTGATACTTTGCATCCACACTCATGAGAGATACTGGTCTGTGGTTTTCTTTTCTCATGATGTCTTTGCTTGGTTTCCATATACAAGTAAGGCTGGTTTTATAATGGGAATGCTCCTAACACAGATATGAAGCTGATTTCTTTCAGGACATATTACTATGAGCCCTTGGGACATGCTTGGCTAAATGCTTTACACAAGCTCTGTCTCTCTCGGACACGGTCTCACTATGATGTAGCCCAACCAATTTTGAATGCTAGGGTAACAGGTATGTGTCACCACACCTTGCCTATAGTATGAACATTCAACCAAAAATTTCAGGTTATAAGAATTCTAATGAAGCTTGAGAAGTGGTCCACACCTTTAATCCAAACACTTTAGGCAGAGGAGCCAGATCTCTGTCAGTTCATGGAGTTCAAAGTTTGAGGCCAGCCTGGGCTACACAGTGAGGTCCTGACACCTCCCCCACCCCCACCACCAAAAAAACCCCCCCAAAAAACAAAAACAAAAACAAAAAACCCAGCACTCGGGAGGCAGAGCCAGGCGGATCTCTGTGAGTTCGAGGCAAGCCTGGGCTACCAAGTGAGTTCCAGGAAAAGGCACAAAGCTACACAGAGAAACCCTGTCTCGAAAACAAACAAACAAACAAACAAACAAACAAAAAAACAAAAAACCACCACAGTACAATAAAACCATGGAAAGACAAATAAAAGCAAAGAGGCAAAATTATCTCTTAGTGATAATGTTAAATAGTCACCAAAAGTTTACAATCATGGCCTGACCTGTTAGGAAAACACAAATATGACCAATTATGACTGTTGCCTTGTCCCCAACAAGCACTCTGATTCAACTTCTCAAAGGTCTCAGGAGGCCAGAAGCTACTTCCTTCCTGCTGCCTGCATCTGTTTCTCTGTCCCACCCTCTGCTGTTCTAACGCCCCTTACATCCTCTGTACCAGTCTTGCTCCACCCACCAATTTTTGGCCGCTTCAGCCTACTCTCCTGCCTGTGCATCAGACCCACACCTTGCTGCCTCTCCCATCACTTCATGGTGTCCCATAGGCCTTTAAAACTTGCCACATTCCTTTGGCAGAAGTGACAGATAGAGAGAAAGTGACCCATGTCCCAAGTATCCATGCAGAGGACCCAGATGAGGGCCTGATTTGTTAGCAAAATAACAGAATGAAGATTTGAAAAGGAAACACAGTTTCCGGAACCCACAGCAGCACAAGGGAGCTGCCTTACTCCTGGTGAGACCCATCCAGGAACAACAGGCTATTTCTGTGTCTTCTTTTTTTGGTGCTTTTATCTAGTTTATGCAATTTTGTCACCCACCAGGAAAGTATACTCAAATCGTCTCCTAAGAAAAGTCCTTTTAGAAAGAGGCTGATGAAGAGCAGCGCGCAGCTCATGTTCTGAATGGCTGTCAACCCCGCAAGAGGGCTGAGAGCCCGCATGTGGCAAAGGAACTATTTCCATTAGGTGAGGGGTGGCACAGTCCTCAGCAGAGCTCTGGCAATTGAGAACTGAAATCTGAACCTGGCCTCCAGGTCACTGGGATGGCACTAAGAGAAAGAGCATGCCTCGGCTAACATCTGGTAGCCTCATTTGAGCTGTGGTTTGTTCCTGATGAAACTCTCTGATGGTATGGGAAAGTGGACTGTCTGAGAGGTGTGGCCTAGAGGGACCGACTGTGTCATGGGCATGCTCTAGAAGGGGCTGGTGATGGCTCTGCACTGAGGGCTGGGTCTTATAAACAGAAGTGGGTTGGTCCTGGAAAGAGTGGGTTGCTGTAAGAATAAGGGGGTCCCTCCTTCTTCGCTGACTTCCTTGTTTGCTGTGTGACGCCTCTCTTTCAGGTGCTTCTGTCCAGAGAGTCTCTTACTACAAGAGACGCCCAGAAGTCAAGGTAAGCTCTTAAACTTCCAAAACATGAGTGCAAATAAACTCTTTTCTTTCTTTTTTTTTTTCTTCAGTGCTGGGGATATAATCGAGGGTCTCCCATATACTAGGCAAATGTGCTCCATCTGAGCTGTATTTCCAACCATTTTAAACAGTAAAGTACTCAGCTTCAGGTACTTTGTTATAGCCATATGAAATAGATGAAGACAGTTTTTAACTCTTAAATATAGAAAGCGGAGTTTCTCAACAGTGGTAGTGTTGGTATTTTGGGTGGAATAGTTTCCGTGCGTTATAAACTCTTTAAAAGTATCCACGCCCTTTGCCTATCAGATGTCAGATGTCAACCTCCTCAAAACTGTGCGGCCAAAACTGTCATTGATAACTGTCTTACCAGTGTCAAAAGGCTTTACATTTAGACTGCGTAGGCCCAGTTTATATTCCCATGCCTTTTGACCTTGGCTTATTTCTTTCCTCTCTGGGCCTCAGGTTCCTCGGCTGTACTTGGTGGGAAACAGATGTGGGTTTGTGACAGGATTCAGCTCAGCATATATTTGTTGACCAGTTCTTCCGGGCCTCCTTCCCACCTTTGCTGTCTATCCTGCTTACCTGTTCAGGAAGATGCTGCTGACATCATCGTGTGTGATGGGAGGCTTCTTGGAGCTGGCAGCCATGCGCAATGGGCGCAGAAAATTATTGACAAGGATGTGCAGTTGCTGCACGTACTCGGCCTCGGCCTCCAGCATGCTGAACACCACCTGGTTCCTCTTGCGCATGCTGTCAGCATGGGGAGACCGGATGTAGTCCTGGATGACGGTCTTCCACTTCCGCCGGCACAGCCAGCCCCGAAGGAAGCTCTGTACCTGGTTAAGACCAGTCGGGGAGATTTAGGTTAGCATCAGTTACTCTTGTTTTTGTGAACCGTGAGCACCTCAAGGGCAGGGAGCAGGGTCAGTCAACCCTGCTGCTGTGAGCTCAGGGAAGAAGAGCTGAGATGCAGAACAGGCTCTGCAGCCCGTGATGCTGAGCATGCTCTTTGGGCCCTCTGAGACAATTTTTCTATCTGTGAAGTAGAGTCAGGGAGCAATCACGGTATGGACTAGACGGCTTGTTAGAAGTGTGGGTTCTAGGGCCTGCCCCAGCCCGCTGCATTTTAACAAGTTCCCTGATTGCTTTGGAAGAGCAGAAAGGAGGAAAAGTGGGCCAAAAGTTTCCACCCAGGGCTAGCGTGAGGAGAAGGGTTGCTAGGCTGTGTTTGGGCATGGTTGCGTCTTGTCTAATGACTCTTCAGAGAGCCCAGAGGTTTCAATTAAAGCTTATCTGGAGAGGGTAATTATCAAATTGAACAGAACATGGCAAATCTGCTCATCTCCAGCTCTTTAGTGGCTTCTGAGCCCCAGTGCCAGGCTGGAGCCTCTCCCAACTCAGGGGGGAAATGAGCCGGGCACTTGCTCAGTGGCCTTGAAGGTGGCTGAGAGAAGTGGCCTCTGACAAGTGGCAGGAGCTTGGGAAAGGGTCTTCACTCACGCATATGCATACACACACACACACACACACACACACAGACACACACACAGATACACACACAGAAACACATACAGAGAACACAGACACACATAAACATACATACTACACATACAACACACATACACACAGAAACAGAAACACACACAGATACATACATACACATACACACAGCCACACACACACCTACACAGACATATACACACAGACATTTACACACAGACACATGACAAATACACATAGACACATAAGGACACACAGATGTACGCAGATATACGCACACAAACACACACGCATGAAGACACGGATAGACATACACACATATGCTGGCTAGTGTTATGTCGTCTTGACACAGCTAGAGTCATCAAAGAGGAGGGCTACAAATGAGAAAATGTCTCCATAAGATTGGGCTGTATTCTGGGAATCCGGTGCCTGTGGTGTGACACCTTGCACAGCCTTGGTGCAGTGGGAAGGGGATTGGACCTGCCTAGGCTCAGTGTGCCGGGCTCTGCTGACTCTCCATGGGAGACCTCAATTTGGGGGATGTGGGGATGTGGGGTGGCTTGGGAAAGAGGGCTGGGGGTGGGAGGAGGGAGGATGGGGGATCTGTGGATCATATGTGGAGTGAGTAGAAAATTTCTTAATACAGAAAAAAATTAAAAAAAAAAATAGGGCTGTAGGCAAGCCTGCAGGACATTTCCTTAATTAGTGATTGATGTGGGAGGGCCCAGCCCCTTGTGGGTCGTACCACCCTTGGGCTGGTGTTCCTGGGTGCTGTAAGAAAGCAGACTGAACAACCATGGGGGGCAAGCCAGAAAGCAGCACCCCTCCACGGCCTCTGCATCAGCTCCTGCCTCCAGATTCCTGCTCTGTTTACGTTCCCACCTTTGTTCCCTAAGTGGATTATGATATGCAAGCCAAATAAACCCTTTCCCCCCCAAGTTGCTTTGGTCATGGTGTTTCAACATAGCAGCAGAAACCCTAAGACAATGTGCGCGCGTGTGCACACACACACACACACACACACACACACACACACACACACACACACAAATACACACAGAGTTGTCCTCAGCTGCACAGGCTTCTAATCCAGGGTCACCTACCTTCTGCACTCTTTAGGCTTCTGGGATGTGGACAAGCTCATGATCTGCACAGGGAGGGACACAGGGTTGGGGCCAGCATACAGGAGTCTATACTGACAGCAAACCAGCCCGCAGTGCAGACTCACCTCTAAGGACAGGGAGGCATTTGTAGAAAAGGGAGGGCTTTAAATCCCCAAGAAACATATGGGGGTGGATTTCAGTCAGTCCCTATCAAATGCTGTAAGCAGAAAGGGCTGCCCTGAATTGAGGGGTGGGCTGAGATGTTCAGGGGCCATAGCAGAGCCAGCTGTCCCTGCCTTGGTGGGACCTGGTGTCAAATCTTCCTGTTTGCTTGTGCGAACCTGACAGCTCCTGTATACCCATGTGGCTGGCTTGGGAATGGGAGAGGACAGCCTCTTCTGCCTGCAGCTGACATTGCTAACGCTATATAGGACATGGCCCAGGCTGTTAGACCTCCAGCTTCTCCAGGAGGCCACATGCTCATGCAGCTGGGGGCATGGGCTTGCGAACTGTGCCAGGATTTGAATGTCTCCCTGCAGATACTTGGCCGTGTCAGCTTCAATAGGTTACCTAGCCTCTCTGTGTCTCAGCTTTCCCAGATATGAGAGGGAGATGATGATCAATTCTCAGAGGCTTTTACTGAGGAGCCACTTAATCTGCATCAAGCTCCCAGAATAGCATCTGGCACGTAGAAAGTGGCTAATGAGTGCTGCAATTTCTATTTTTGAGAAAGCAGATATCCAGATTTCCGCGTGAAGTGTTTAGCTCTTAAAGCACTAGCAACAAATATAAATGGGAAAATATACATGGGCTGAAAGCCATATGCACCGGGGAGGGCTGGACTTGGCCTGTGGGATATGTTTGCAGTTTCTGGTCTGCGTGGCATGGGGCCCTTCCTGTAACCCTGACAAGGAAGATCTTGTTTCACTGGTTGTCCTCAGGACGATCCATCTCCCTTGTCTTGAGTCTGGCAAGACGAAAACATAGCCAGGCCCCTTCCCTGGGCTGTGGCACTATAGGGTGGTCCATAGTATTGTTACTACCCTGGCTCTTGGGCAGGTCCCTGGCACTTTGTCAAATATCTTTCCCCTTGGAAACTCTGTTAGAGCCGAAGCAGGGGCTGACTGTGGGGTCTTTGAAGGCCAGCTCCCTGCTGAGCCATGCTGGGGAGTATGCAGTTGTGAGGGGTGTGTGTGTGTGTGTGTGTGTGTGTGAGAGAGAGAGAGAGAGAGAGAGAGAGAGAGAGAGAGACAGAGACAGAGACAGAGACAGAGAGGCAGAGAGACAGAGACAGACAGAGACAGAGACAGAGACAGAGAAGTGGGGGAGGTGGATGACAAGCAAAGAAGCCATGATGGAAAGATGCCTGAGGAGCCTTGGTGAGGCTGCACTGTTCTTGGAGGAAAACTCTTAAAGGAGACTTCCTAGACCTTGGTCCTGACCCCATCTCCTCTTTCCTCTCCCTTGTCTCTATAAAATGGGGCTAGCTCACCTTCACTCACAGGGACAACCAAAAAGTGTGGCATGACAGGTGTCAAAAGAGGCAGGTGGCTCCTGGTTCCATCTCTGGAGCTGAGGGGACTGGGTGAATGGCATGCCATAAGGATATGTGAGGTGGCAGGTAGACACTGCCAGCCAGGGAGGGTACAGACCTTCTTAATTTTCTTGATGTCACTGTCCTCATCATTGGGGGTGACAATCTGGGTGGACTGGATGCGTTCATTGTCCTTGAGCAGGGATGCAATCTGCAACAGAATAACAGGTCAGTAGTGGCCAGCACAGGACACTGGCCAGCAGGCAGAGGCAGCACCTGAAGCCTGCTTCCTCTGCCACAAGAGTTGACAGTGTTGGGTGTTGAGTCTCTTGTGCCAGTGAACCACACAGGTCCCAGATGCCCGTACAGAAGTGCACGCTGCATTGGAACAAGCCTGCCTTGGCTACTTTGGGGCCCTCAGAGTGTGGACAAGGCCCTTCTAGGTGTGAGGTGGTGGCTATAGCCTGATCTATGATTTTCTTCCATGTTCTGCAAACCACAGGTTCCTTTTATTTTTACTGTAGTAAGCTATATAGGAAGATAAAAGTTACCATGTGAATCTTTTTTTTAAATGTGTAATGTTGTATAAGTGTGTGGTGTGTGCATGTGTGTGCAGGCAAATGTGCACTTGTATGTTCCTGCATATGGAGGCCTGAAGTCTTTCCTTGATTCCTCTCCACCTTTAATTTTTCAAACAAGGTCTTTCACTGAACCTGAGGCTCATAAATTCAATTAGGATGGATTGCCAATGAACATCAAAGATCCTCTCATCTTCACCCTTTCATCCAAGGCTGGGATTACAGGCATGTCCCACCATGCCTAACTTTTTACTTGGGTTCTGGGGATCTGAACCTATGTCCTTGTGCCAGCGTGGCAGGGACTGTATTGACTGAGCCAGCTCCCTAGCACCCATCAGTCATTTATTAAACAAAGGTTTGTTTATGTACACACACACACACACACACACACACACACACACACACACACACACACACATTTGTGGAGGTCAGAGGACAGCTTCGAGGAGCCCATTCTCTCCCTCCACCACGTGGGGTTCAGGATTGAACTTACGTTGTCAGGCTTGGAGGCAAGTGCCTTCACTTGTTGAACCCTCTCACTGCCCTCCCAGTGACCCATTATTCGGTGCCGTGTCTGGAGGCATCCAGTCTATTTGTAATGTGCAGCCAACATCACCATTCCTCCCTGGGGTCTCCAGATGGAAACTCTGTAAGTCCTTCCTCCTCCAGCTGCTGACACACATCTGTGCTGCTTCCCACATCTGTGAATTTTACACCGGGAAGCTCATGTGGAGTGACTTGGTATTTTGTTTGGCACTGCACCCTCAGGGTTCATCCATTTTGTAGCCTATGTCAAGTTTTCTTCATACACATCGTTATTATCCTTTGTTCTCATATATCCCCTTCCTCCTGTCTTCCCCCCGCCCCTCCACCGACCCCTTCAGGCTGTTTCTCCTTCTCCCAGACAGTCCCTCTTTCTGCTTTTTTATTATATGTATCCATCACCCACTTTCCCTCCAATTCCTTAGGATTTCATCTTTCTCTCTTGTGATCCTCTTTAAGTTTCATGACTGACACAGCACACACACAGAAACGCACATGTATATAATCTTAAACCTAGATTCCACATATGAGAAAATGTGCAGTATTTGACTGATTCTGGCTTATTTCATTTAATGCAGTGATCCTCAGTTCCATCTGTTTTCTTGTAAATGTCATTATTTTATTTTTCTTTATGGCCCCATAAAGTTCCACATGTGTTATGTGCCTTGTTTTCTTTATGCATTCACCTGCTGGTTTCGTGTCCTAGCTATTGGGAATACGGCAGCCATGAACATGTATGTACACATATCTCTGTGGTAGGCAACACCAGCTCACTTGCAGACATTGGGCTGCCCTTTGTCTTTCCAAGAAAAGCACATGGGGGAATAAATCAGATCAAGGCTGGTGGCTCAGAGTATAGCTCTGGTGGCTGGCTTCTCTCCTTTCTGGGTTACCCTGAAGCACTTCTTGGAATCAAGGTCCTCTTTGGAGCTTAACTACTTGCCCAGAAAGCTAAGGTAGCCCCCAGAATACCTAAAACAAGCTCCATTTGTCTTATTTGGGGATCATAGAGAATCAAGACCAAGGGCTGGGCATCCTAAATCTATCTGAGACTGTCCCAGGGGACAGGCCAACGATCATCTTGTACTGGGGCTCCCATAGTAAAAAGAAAGAACTTTCTATTGAGGGAAAGCCACCTCTTCTCCCTGCTTTGCTGAGAGTTCTGTGGAGTGGTTAGAGTGGTCTCATTCATTAGAGCTCTTGGGGGCTAGCATAGGGCCCAGCATGCAACACGCCCTCGTTAGCTGTAAAAATAAGTGAATCAAAAACTGATCAGAGCAACAGTGACCTCAGAACCTCCAACCACAGGAAGCTACAGCAGTCGCTGAGCCCAGCACATCTAAAGACAGAAGCTCAGGGAATTCTATAAACACAGCTGCGGGCAGGCTGCTCCCTCCTCAGAACATGAGGCCGTGTGCCCTCAAGGCCACATGCTGAACCTCAGGATGAATGGCTCTCAAAAATGAACCACTGAAGCCTTTGAAAGTGGAGTGAGCAGTTGCAGGCTCTCCACTGCTAGGCTGCTAAAATTACCCTGGCTGGCCTTCACTTGGAGAGTGTCTGAAAACAACTAACTGGAATGTTCAGTGGAGAGACCCGTTTGCTTGTTCTCTCCTTTTTTTTTTTTTCCTCTCTGTGCTACTTCCTTATATTTTTCTCAGCAATTCTTAAGCTTTGAACATTTACATGTTGAAATAAAAGGCCAAAATTTTGGCCTGTAATTTAAGAGGCTTATGGTACACACACACACACACACACACACACACACACACACACACACACACACACACACACACACAGTGGCATGCAAGCACAGAGCTCTGGTGAGCTCAGAGGCTGCTGTGGCTGGGTCAACACTTTTCTTTTGGCCTGAAGGTCTTTATCTTCATGCCATCCTGCTTTTCTTTGCCAGTTTTGATATGTGCACAGAGGGAGGTGGTGATGGTTGGGGGCTGGTCTGCATTTAAAACTGATGATGGGGGCTGGAGAGTTAGCTCAGAGGTTAAGAGCGCCAGCCACTCTTTCAGAGGCCCTGAATTCAGTTTCCAGCATCCACAGGGTGACTGATTACCCTCTAAAACTTCAGAACCAGGAATCTAATGCCCTCTTTTGACCTCCTTGGACACTATGCACACACACAGCGTACAGACAAACATACAGGCAACACTAATACATAGAAAATAAAATAAATATAAACGGAAAACTTAAAAAGCAGTTAAAAGTTGCAGCACACTTCTGATAGGCCTTCTATAGGGCATTCAATCAGTGGGGACCAGGGCACAAAATAGGCATAACCAAGCCTCACACTATGCTGTGATGCTCAGTGCTCAGACAGCCCTAACAGTCTTAGAGTCTTTAAAATTCCTTGGTCCTCTCATTTCATCTATTTGTGTGTGTGGTGTTGGTGTACACGAATGTGTGCATGCCTCTGGAAGTCAAAGGACAACTTCCACCAGTTATTCTCTCTTCCATCATGTGACCTGGAGATTAAACTCATAAGGCTTGGTGGCAAACACCTTTATCCCCTGAGCCTAGAGTCTTTATTTAAGGATCAGGTTGGAAATACAGTTCAGGAGAGTTAGGAACTTGAGTTGTTGCAGAAGTCTTAGGCAATGGCCTGTAGCAACTCAATTTTCTCCTTGCTTTTCTTTGGTCTCTTCCAAGCCCATATGTCTCTTTTGTGCTCACCCTGTCTGAAAATCCCAGTGGTGTCTTGGTGTTGGGCTCTGTGACAGGCAGGGAGCTGCTGGGATTACTGGTGTGTACTACCAGCTGGGAAGTTGAGTCACGAGGTTCATGAGGCCAGCTATGGAGGTTTGAATAGGTATGTCCCCCATAGACTCATGTGTTTGAGTGCTTGGCCCATAGGGAGCAGCATTATTAGGAGGTGTATGTGGCCTTGTTGGAGTAGGTGTGGGCTTGTTGGAAGAAATGTGTCACTGTGGGGTGGACTCTGAAATCTCATAGCTCAAACTATGCCCAGAGTGGGACACAGTCTCCTTCTGTTGCCTGTGGAGCAAGATGTAGAACTCTCAGTTCCTATTCCAGCACCATGTCTGCCTGCATCCCGCCATATCCCACCATGATGACAATGGGCTAAATCTCTGAAAATGTAAGCCACCCCAATTAAATGTTATAAGAGTTGCTGTGATCATGGTGTCTCTTCACAGTAATAAAAACCCTAACTAAGACACCAGCCTAGGCTCCTTAGTAAAGAGTTGTCTAAAACAAATGCCCAATAAGGCACAGCCAGTAGAGTGGTGTGTATCCACTGTGAAGGGCAGGGCATTTGATTGGAAATATTGCTCTAAATTCCCATTCCCACCAAATGGGCCTTTTCTGCCATTACACACACACACACACACACACACACACACACACACACACACACACACACACACACGTTCCCGACTGGCTTGCATTCTGCTCCTAGCCCCTCAGGGAGCTCTGTCCTCTGCACCTGTGCCTTCTTGGGCCCACAAACTGATAAAAGTATTCAGGGCCAAGTGCAGACTGAGCTTATACCCTCTGGCTTTCAAACACCTTGTCAGAACCAGGGCTCACGCAGCACCCTTGTGTCCCTGTCCACACTCTAACACAGTGGACTAGAAAGGCAGACATCTCCGTACCCCGGGAGCCTTCCAGAGCCTGAGTTCCCTCACTCACCAAGCCCTCACAAGCTACCATGCCAGGCAAGAGGGGCTGAGTGGTAGCAGAGACTGCCTAACCCTTATGGGGTTCCTACCAGGCTGCTGAAATTACAGACACACAGGGAGCATTGTGTTGATCTCCAGAAGCCTTTGTAAGCAGAGGGCCTAAAGCACGTGCTAGCCAGGAGCCCCATCGGGAGGTAACTGTCCTTTACAGGATTTGGCTAGAAACATGGGCATGAGAAAGGCATGCCAAAAAAGAGCAATATCATGTGCAAAGGCCAGAGGGTAGGACAGTTCAGTGCTCTGGGATGCTGGGTGGTGCTAGGTGACTGCACAGTCCCGATTAGTAATTGGGTAATGGGGCCACAGTCCTTCCCTGGTCTGTGTGTGTGTGTGTGTGTGTGTGTGTGTGTGTGTGTGTGTGTGTGTGTGTGTGTGTGTGTGTGTGTTGGGGTGGGGGGCAGCTCTGTTTATATTCAGGAAGCTATGCTGGGCTATCACAGATCTCAGGGCTTCTCTCCAGAGTGGGCTGGAGCCCAGAATGGGCCAGCGGTGTTAGAGGATAATTTTGGGCTAGCCTCTGGAAGACTGTCAGAGGCTCTGTACAGAGTAGAAAGACTAGCAGCAGATGGACGGGAGCCTGTGTTCCAGTTCGACGTCCGTCACTTCTCAGCTGTGTGTGTTTGGACAAGTGACCCGAGCTCTCTGAACCTGGCTCCTCATGGCTTATTCCTCTGGGATGGCAATGGGGGCTGATGAAGGAGACGTGTCTGAAGTCTTGTTGTAGGGTTAGAGATGGGTCAAATGTGGAACTCCAGTTAAACATGAAGTTGTAAGTCAATATTGCTGCTGATGGAGAGCTTTGCTGTTGCTGGATAAGATGGGGTTGGTGGCTCTGAGTCTCTGAACTTTCTCGACAGGGCTAGGAGGCACTGGGTTGCAGCTACAGGTGTGGGAAGGGGTTCTGTACACAAAGAACCCTGCACCCAGGGCTTCTAGCTCTGCAGTTGACACCTGCAGGTTCTCCATCCTTTGCTGTTGGGATCACATTTTTTTTTTTTTTGAGTGGAGCCTGATGGGATCAGGGAGCACATCCTGGGGATTGCAGGCCTGGATCAGGCGAATCCTCACCTCTCACTGTACCCTCCTTAGGTGGGTTCTTGTGTGTTTTTTCTCCACATCCTGACATCCAGGATGCCACATGGGCTTCTAGGAAGGATGCCTGAGAGCCTGTGCTCCCAGGAGTCAACAGCATCTCCTGACATGGTATATAAATGCAGGTTCTCATTTGGGAGTTCTAGGGCTGCCCAAGGCCTTGGTAAACAGTGAGTGGCTAGGCTCCCGGAGGTGTTTACAGGACTTCTGCCCAATGAGGCCACACACAAGGCAAGCTCGATGGCATGCCATCAGGGGCAGACCCTAAAAGCCTATGATTGGCCATCTGACACTCGTGTATCTGGTGCAGACACAGAGAAAGCCCACAGTAATGACTCCAGGTGATATTGCACTCCAGAGTCTGAGGCTGACAATGGTGACAGTTAACGTGTCCTTGCACCCTCTAATAACTTGTCCATAAACATCTCACTCATCCTTATCACCTGGTTAGGTCATAGCAAAAACCCTGCATTGCATGAAACAACTCAGCAGCAGAGGGGTGGGGGACACACTTCAGGTGGCACTTGGTAAGCACAGAGGCGGGGTGAGTCAGGGCTTTGATCTGGTCTGGGGACCCCTGGCTTGCAGTCACCTCTGCCTTCAGTCGCTCGATCTCGATCTCGCCGTCCTCGATCTGCTGTCGCAGCTGCTTGGCCACCGTCTTCTCTGTCTCTACTATCTGCAGCAGGTGCAGGTACTTCTGCATGAGCGCCTCGTGCTCCGTGGCCAGTGTCCTGTAGCTGTGGACAGAGGTGCATGGCAGGTGAGATGCTGCCCCCGTCTCTGGGCCCTGCACACCCCATTGCACACCAACTTCCAGTTGCTTCATTTGCCTGGCTTTCTTTGTTATTCTCTCTCTCTCTCCATATATATGTATATCTATCTTTGTTTCTCTCTGTATATCATACGCACACACAGACACACATTCTCTCTCTCTCTCTCTCCATATATATATATATATATGTATATATATATATATATGTATATCTGTCTTTGTTTCTCTCTGTATATCATACGCACACACAGACACACATTCTCTGTCTCTCTCTCTCTCTGACTCTCTCTCTCTTTCTCTCCCCCTGGGATGTTGTCTAGGTAGATAGGCATTTTGAAACATACCCTCCCCCATCTCCCTAACTCCACACTTCTTCTTAGACTACTTCTGGGATTCAGATGAATTGCCTTGGTGGACTCCAGGGATCTTCTTTCAGCTTCAGAGCTTCTAGTAGCATGGTGATGGAGGGGGATACTATATGTGCCTAAAAAGTACTCAGTGGACACTTGTTGTATGCAAGGGTGACTACAGATGCATGCATCAGGCCTTGTGGGATATATGGAGGACGAGTAGGCACGGACATCTCATTGTTCATTTGGGTGATGTCTGAAGACTGCACAGGACATAGAAGTGTCCAGTGGCGAGTCACAGGTTCTTAGTGTATGCTAAGAAGGAGGGGGCCAGCAACAAGGACTGTGCTCAGGGAAGACTTCCAGGAGGTCCTAGGTAACACACCACCAAGTTGGAGCTGAGGCGTTTGACTCCACACATAGTTCCTTGGGTACATACCCACTTTAGGGCAGCCCTGGGTAGGAGACTTGCGTTGGCAGTGATTGATAATGAGGTGAGGTGGTTAGGTGGCACCAGATCAGAGACAGTCCCAAAGGATAGGCAAAGGGCGGGGAGGAGGGAGAAGGTATCTTATCAGATTCCCAAATTAACACGTGGCACACAGATGGACAGAGTGGCAGAGCAGGAATGAAAGTAAGAAGTGGTTTGCCTGAGGTCACCACACCCCTCAAGAGAGACCCCAGTCCCCTATGTTCTTGGTCTGGGCCTCTCCATATTGCTCTATGGTATGAGCAAGACCATCAGAGTACGTCACAGCTGTGGAAAGCTAGATCTGATCCCATGAAGAGGCCCAGTGGGCAGAGAGGCTTGGAGAACAGGACTCCAACATCTCAGAGGGAGGTGTCTATCCAGAAGGGGTCAAGGTCAGGGAAAGGGCAGGATCTTGGAAGGGAAAGGTTAGAGTTCTCAGGGATAAGATAGTCTGGGTCTACATTCCTCAGTGTTCCTCAAATTTTTCCTCTTGCTTCAACCCACCATCACCTGAGAGCCACCCCTTTGCCTTTCCTCTCTCACACATACCCATTTTCTGTGCTCTTGTCCTCTCCTCTCTCAGCAAGGTCTGTGTCTCCTTTCTTAGTGGTAGTGAGGGCCTCTCCTTCCCGTCCTTTGATTGGCACAGCCCAGGATGCTCTATCTGCCCATCAAACCCCTCTTCAGGGTCTCTTTCACCATCACACTCCATCTCAGCATCCAGAAAAGGCTCAAGTCCCTACCCCTTAGAACAAACCAAGCTGTCCCTCAACCTCCCTAACTCTACCCGTTCTGTCAAACTGATTGGATTGAAATAGTATGGCATTAGGAAAACATGCATCTCAATGTGTTTGTCAGAGAGTTTCTAGGGATGTTAATAAAGGGCTGGGAGGAGTTGCTTGAACTGAGTGGCACTGTCCCATTGCTGGAGGTCCAGAAGGAACCAAAGGGGAAGAGGGAGTAGGCCTTCTAGCCAGGACGTTCTCTCTGTCTGCCTTCTGGTTGCCACGAAACGAGCAGCTTCATTCTGCCACAAGCTCACTTCATGATGGTCTACCCTACCGCAGTCAACAACAGAGCCAATGGAGGACCATGACCAAAATCCACTTTCCTTCCTTAAGGTTGTCCTCTCAGGTATCTGTCACCTTCTTTCCCACTTGCTCAGCATAGTTTATTGAACGAGCTGTTCACCCAGGATCTGCTAGCACTTTCTTTACTCCATCAGCACAGCATTGGCTCTTTGCACCCATAGCAACTGGCTCCCCATCTGGGGCCACCCACTGTCTCCTACTGGTGAGACTGATGGAATGTGAGATTGATTTTAGTCTGCCAACTTCTGGTATTATTACCATGCAGTCCTGCACACAGCTGGCCGGTGGGGTCAAGCTGAGGAGGGAGGTCTTTGTCTCAGCCTCAGGAGTCTCTGTGACCCTCAGGGTTTGAGGTGAGACTCAGGAGGCCATGATGGAAGTAACCTTGCAATAAAGAAGGGCCATGCCAAGGTGTTTGAGGTAGAAAGATAGTTATAGAAGGCCCTGTTCTCTGATGGTGCCCGAAGATGCCTTCTTGGGAGGAGGCTGGTTGCGGTCATACATATCCTGAGGGTGGGACGATATAGCAGGAAAGGCTTGCTTCATCAGGCTCAGGACACCTGTGGCAAGGAAGGGATCTGGGGAAGAAACTGTGGTCCAGAGAACTGATCTCTGTTCTTAGCGTTACCTTTTCTTAAGTAACAGGCTGTGAGAGATGCTGTTCCAATATAACACTATGGCGGTCTGGGCGCTTCTCTTGTGAAAATGAACCCAGACTCGAAGGGCTTTCCAACTTCCTAGGGTACTTAATTGTCTTCACTTGCAAGCAAAATTCAACTGAGAGCAAGGAGTCTGTTTTCACACCATCTTGCCTCCCCACACAGGGGTGCGAAGTACAGCTTCTTCCTTAGTCTAGTCTTACTAATGGCAGACACCCCGTGCTGCAGGAAGGAGGAGTCTCATCTGCAGCTTATCTGCCTGCCTTCCTTCTCCCCCCCATTCCCTTCCCTCTCTTTATCCTCCTTTTTCTTTTCTCCTTTCTTCTCCCATCATTCCACCCCTTCTCTCCTGTCCCCTCGTGCCCCCTTCCTCCTTCCCTTTCCCATGCCCCCTCCCTTCTGCCTCCTTTTCTCCTTCCCTTCTCTCTCCCCCTCCCTTCACCCCACTCTCCTATTATGCTTTGAATGTGAAGTCTCCTGTGTCTGTCAGAAGATAAGCGCAGGGGAAGCTGGGGCCAAAAACAGCAGGGCTGCTGCAGAGATTAGACTGTTAAAGAGGCCACTGGACAGGGGAGATGGCTCAGTCAGGGGAGTACCTGCCACTCAAGCGTGAGGAACCCAAAATAAAAGTAAGTAAATGAATAAAACAGGCCATGATGGTGTGTGCTTGTAATCCCAGCACTGGGGAGGTAGAGGTAGGCAGATCTAGCCTAGCCTACTCCAAGGGCTCCTGTCCAGTGAGAGACCTGGACACACACACACACACATACACACACACACACACACACACACACACACACACACACACACACACACAAGTCAGATTCCACCCATTATAGGCTCAAGGACATTTGAAAGACCTTGCTTTGAGATGTCACAGGGAGCCTATGGAAGTCCTTCCCTACACCAAGCCATTAAGTATTCAGAGGTGTAAGCCAAGCGGATGTGGCTGCTGCTGGAGCCAGTGGCAGAATTTGGTGCTAGCCGTAGGATACTGGTTTTAGGAGCATGCAGGATATAAGAGTTGTGGGTCCCAGAGGTTTCCACCCAGATTTCAAAAGAAGGCCTGGGAAGCAAGGCAGTACGGGAGGGTCAAGAGTCCCTGAGAGGGTGAAGTTGTGAGAGTTGAATATGAAGCTCTTGGAGCCCTCAGGAGGCTGGAGAGGCCAAGAATGGGGGACATCTGACAAGGAGAGTTTTAGGAAGTCAACAGAGCCTTCTGAGAAGTCACATTGAGGAACTAGGAGTTGACAGACTGCCTGAGGCATACAAAGAGAGAGAGGGGCCATGGCTATGTAATAAGGATGGTGAACTTCCAAGATGGCTGGCTTCTCCCTCACCCTCCTGACTTGAGACAAAGACCTGACAGCTTACGGGCTTTTTGTCCTGTCAGTAGGCCCCCTGCTGATGGACTGGCTCAAGGAGTCCCTGGCTGCATCTGGGCATGTTTACACAACAGCTGTAGGACCATTAGCCAGCCTTTCTTTCTTCAAACTGAGCAACCCTATGTTAGGGAAGGGACTTTAAAACACTCCAGTCTTCAAGAGAAGCTGTGTTTCAGCTTCCCTAGTTCTTGTTCCACCTTGCAAAGGGTCTTTTCTCTGTGTGCTTGTGGTAGGTAAGTGCCCATTTCCGCGCCTCTGGTAAAAACCTTTCTGGACCGCTTGAGATAGGAACACCCTCCACTCCCCAGCTCCCCACCTCTTCCAATTGGACTTAACCTTCCACAGTTTCTACTACCTCCCAACAGTCCATTCAATGATGAATTCATCCAAGGTCAGTCCTCTTGATTAGGTCAGAGAATTCCCCTGTTGCTACCTGTTGTGATGGAGATTTTGTCCCCCTGTCTTTTGATTCTTTAACTGACAAAAGAAATGAACCTGGTCAAGACCCCTAGATGGTAACAATATAAGCTATAATCAGAAAAGACTACAGAGGTGGGACTTTCTAAGCCTGTTGGAGCTCATACCATGCCCCAGATCCTGTATATGCTCATGACATGACCTGAATACCCAGACATGGAGCTCCATGGTATAATGTTTGTCTGGCTGGGTGTTCCTCTTTCTATGTTTCCATTCCTCTTTGGAAAGGGGAGGGTTCCTATCATTGTACGTTAGAAGTACACTACTTCCTTTTTTTTAATTTTAAAGGTGTTCATAGCTACTGCTGCCTTGCATCATTGAAGAGTTTAGACTTAGCCTTCTGAGAAATTCTGGGACTATTAAGACTGAGGACCTTTGGGGACATAGTAAATACATTTTACACTGTGAGATGGCCATGGGCCTTTGGGGGCCAAGGGAAGAATATTATACTTTAGTCTGGAATGCTCCTTATGGGCTGATGTTTAAAGGCTTGGTGCCAGTAGATGGGCTTTGGGAGCAATTGTGAGGGTC